CATAGAAGAGAATCTGCAAGTGAAACTGTGATGTTCCAGGTCTGATGTCAAGTGGTTTCAGCACTGACACTTTTCTGTAGTGGTACTGGAACAAAGAAAGCAAAAGTGCAAATGGAAGACAAATGATACATTTAAAACTCCATTTAATGAACACAAACTGTGCAAAGATAAGTGTCAGCTTGGCTGTTCCCCCTGAATCCCACACAGAGTATTTATAGCACATTATGTGGATGTTCAGCACGTGCTTCCTTGAGCCTTCCCAGTTTGTTTTATGACTCCATGGGAGATTGGTATCTGATTTAGTATGTGCAGTTCAGAGTCTGTTGCTAATAAATGCTGATTCATTTGGCTAAGAACCTGTTGGAGATTTTTGTTCATGCAAATCTCAAACCCAATTCCTCTGATTTGACTACAGGATTTTAGGCAAGGGTGAGAAATTCCTTCTCTTTTGGCATTTGATTATTGCTCTTTGGTCAGGCAAAGCTCTCAGTCCGGGTGAATTTTTCAGTAATGTCACAGTTCTGGACAAGAATAAACCATCCATGGAATATGCTTCAGATAACAGATTCCCATTCTGTCCTGTAGTGGCAGCAGTAGCAATGGGTTGAGGCATCAGAGCCGTTCAGGGTGGGCATTGCTTCCCTCAGCCATGTGTGTACTGCTGTAAGACTTTGTAGGTTGGACTGTTTGTTATGTTGGAGCCTTTGCTTTCTTTTCCTGCCTTCCAGACAGAGAGGAGGAGGTTTGCCAGGCACCACATTCCCCTCAGGAGGCAGCAGAGCTGTTTCCCTGCAGGAGTGCTCTGTGCAGGGCAGGGGAGCACAGAGCTGAGCCCTTCCCACATCCTCCTCACCTGTCCAAACCTGCCTTGTCTTATCTAGAGCAGTGAAACTACCTGTGATTGCACCACTGGTGCCAATTAAACCTGTTCTAATTTCCGTGAAGAAAATATTAGCTCAGGAGTTACTGTTGACTTCTTTTTTCCCCTCCTCAGGAGTGTTGTTTTATCTTCAGATTTTTTCTCTTTTTAAATACAGCAATTACATGCTGATCTTTCATAGAATCTGTTGTGAAACAATCAGAATGATCAGAGCTGGAAGGGACCCTTGAGGATCATCCAGTCCAACTCCTGCCCTGCACAGACATCCCTGACAGTCACACCCTGTGCCTGAGAGCGTTGGCCAAACCCCTCTGGAGCTCTGTCAGCCTTGGGGCTGTGACACTGCCCTGGGGAGCTGTTCAGTGCCCAAACACTTCTGGGGGAGGTAGAACCACTTATAGAAACTCTGTGTTCCATATCTTTGGAAAACAACCCCAGACTTTTGTCTGCAGAGCATGTGGAGGTTTTAAAAGAACAGTCCCATGGAGGGTGTGGAGGTTTCTGTGAGTGGCAAGAACTTTGGTGCAAGGGACCTGCTGGTCACAGTTCTTATGGCTCTTCATAGACTGGAGGAGGCCCAGGGGAGACCTTATCACCCTCTACAACTCCCTGACAGGAGGTTGGAGTCAGGTGGGGGTTGGTCTCTTCTCCCAGGCAACCAGCAGCAGGACAAGAGGGCACAGACTCAAGCTCTGCCAGGGGAGGTTTAGGTTGGATATTAGGAAGAGATTTTTTAGGGAGAGAGTGCTCAGGCATTGGAATGTGCTGCCCAGAGAGGTGGTGGATTCACCATGCCTGGAGGTTTTCAAGCTGAGACTGGATGTGGCACTTAGTGCCATGGTCTAGTGACCACGGTAGGGCTGGACTTGATGATCCTTGAGGTCTCTTCCAGCCTGGTTGATTCTATGATTCAGTCCTACCCATGCTAGGCCTGTTCTTACCAGCTGTGCAAAGCTCTGGGTGTTTGAGGAAGTCAGAGAATGGCTAAGCATGAGACAGTCCTAGCAGGTAGTGCTGAAGCAGCCTGTGCTCAGCACTCATAATGCTCACTGACTTAAGGAAAACATCCTCATCCTTCCTGAGAGCCTCAGTGTCCCATGAGGATGGCAGATGGTGTAGCATCAACTTGGAGTACTCTCCAAGGTTGGGACAAACATTGTGTTACCAAATTCCTGACTTGGATCTCAGAACTGTTCCATTTCCCACCCCCTGCTAGACCCACATGCTGACAAAGTAATACTGCTAAGAAAACACTGCATTTATTTTCAAAGCTTTTTTGAAGAGTCCCTTAATTCATTTCTGCTATTGCTCAGTGGGATGTGTTTGTCCTTAGGCCTGCCCAGCTGCAGTGCACGGAGAGCTGTGGCTGTCACACTGGGCAGCTTGGCTGGGGCACTAGTAAGTTGCTGCAGCTTTTGTTCCATCTTTTGTTCCATCTTTTCCCACCTGGTTGACTGGACTGGGTAGCTCAATCCCAGAGAGCACCATGCTCCAATTGCTTTATTCTTTCTTTCCAGGCAGGAGCTTTATATGACTAGAGGGAATGGTAATTAATAAACAGGGCAAAGTCAGATAGGTGTTAGGAGAAATGTTTTCCCTGTGAGGGTGTTGAGGCACTGGGATATTGCCCAGGGAGGTGGTGGAGTCACCATCCCTGGAAGTGTTTAAGAGGTGTCTGGATGTGGCATTGGAGGATCTGGTTTAGGGGTTCCAGCAGTGACAGGTTAATGGTTGGACTGGATGATCTTAGAGGTTTCCTCTAACCTTGATGATTCTGTATTTTTTCATAACTTTACCCATTATATTATCCCAGTTACAAATGTTCTTGTCCCACACCTTGTGTGTTACAGATCAGACTCTTCTAGGGGAACTTTTGCATCAAAATGGTAACTTTATTTGAGCTCTCACTTGCTTTTCTAGCATCATTTTCCAGAATTTCCTGTGTTACACCTAACAACCTTCAATAGCCTCAGAAGGCTCTGATAGAACAGCACAATTCTGTACCATCTGTTTTTTACTCAGGACCCACTGAGAACTCTGATCACTTGGGTGGAACTTCTGTGCCTAAAGAGCAAACTCATGTTCTCCCTTTTCTTGTATGAACATCTCAGATGTCTTTGGAAATGAAGCACCTGCAAGGACTCACAAGTGAAGTTCTGAGCAGCCACTTGGCACCTGCACTCCAGAGTGAGTGGTGGTTCCCAGGGAGTAAGGCACCACCTTGAATTTCAGCATGTGCTGCCAGTTTCCAGAGGAATTCCAGGAAAATGTAGGACACTTCATTTTGTTTCCCAACAACTGGTTAAGTTCCAGCATTAGCTCTGATACTGGGATGGAGCTCATTTCTCTTGCTCTGCCTGCTGAGGGTTTGAGCCTGCTGAAAAGACTTGACACCATGCCATCCCCAGTGCCTTCCATGTGCTTATAAAGAACAGATTTGCATATGAACAGTTTGCATTGCTGGTTTATTGAAGACTGAAAAGAATACCTTGGGATGTCTTTTTCCAGGGTACTTGAACATTCCTTAGTGGATGTGATCTGGCAGGAAAGACCTTCCAGTTGCTGCTGGATTTAATCCCCTTGTGCAGGACTGGAGAGTTCTGATTCATCCTTGTCACTTCTCAGCAAAAGTTTCTCTGTAACAAGTCTCAGAAGTGTTTCAGTGGCTTTTTGCTCTCAAGTTCTGCCTTCTGTCACCATCTAGTCCTTAACTACTAACTAGGAATGGTTTTGTTCCTGTGAAATATGCAGCATCTTTGCACATCCTGACTATCAAGTGTAAAAAACAACCCACTTCAGCCTACCTCAGCAGAGTTGGAATCCTACATATCCTTACACAAAAAGTGAGTGTTCTAGTTCCTTCAGGTGAGGTCTGTGGAGGACAACAAATGAATTGCCACGTGCTTTATGACACATCAGTGTGATATGGACTGTGCACATGGGCACACACAGAGCCTGCAGTAAACCCTCCAAACTCTGCAGGTTCATATGTCTGAACTGGTAGCTCAGATGGAATTTTAAAGGAAGAGACTTGATGACTCGAGTGCAGCCAGCCCAGCCCTGTTCCCTCCTCTTCTGGGGTCAGGGTTTTCTTCCATCAGTCATGGCCTCTCAGGTCTTGGATCCAAACATGAAAGAGCTCCTGTAGATTCTGAAGATGTGACATAACTCTGTCTTGTATGCTAATTGCTGCCTGAGCTGGTCTGGTGTGATGGATCTGAGTGCAGGATCTTAATTCTGAGGTAAGAACCTAAGCTGGCAGGTGCTGAGAGGAGCTGCTGAGTGCATTCCTCATGGCCAGGAGGTGAGGAGCTGCCTGGGGACCCTCACTGGTGTGCTCCCAGCTGCCAGGGCCCCTCAGCCTGCAGGCACTCACCAGGGACTTACACAGACTGAGCTGTTTGTTGGTACTGAGCTTTGCTAGAGAAGCCTGAAAAACAGTCAGTGTAGTGTGAACAATTAAAAGGGGCTGCTGTGCATAAATCTGGAATGGAGTCTGTCCCTTGGTGTCTGTAGGTTTATCCACAGGGTAGAACTGCCTTCATTCAGAGTAGTAGCTTCTGCCTGGTGAGGGGTCACAGCTTGAGTGGCAAAGTAGCTAAAGGAGCTGCTCAAAAGTTTCCTGAGTGCAAGCTGACATAGTCCTGGGAAATCTTTACTGGACTCTTGTCAGCATTTCATTCTCTTTCAAAATAACCCAACCAAATCTTTGGTTTAGAGAATCTGTTTTTCTGTTCAAAGCTTGCAATGCTCAATCACTCCTCAGAGATGTATCAGGTCAGGTGTCAATCCTGTTGATCCTGGACTAGGTTTGTTTGTTACTACTGCAACAAAACACTGATGACTATTTTGGTGTACGATTTTTCAAGCCTCACAGTCACCATGACTCACAGTGCAAGGTAGATTAAACCAAATGCTGGGACCAGAGTCACTGTGTGTCACACACACACACACACACTCTCCTGACTGAGCATCCTGTGTGGCTCAGAGCCTTCCTGGGAGAGAAGGTGATGTCTGAAGTGGTAACAATAAATTGTGCTGGTGTAGGTGCAGGTTAAGAACTTTATAGGATTCATGTCAGGTTCTCTTGCTGGATTAATGTAAACTGCTTTGTTTGCAGGGTTTGTTGTCATCCCAAACCCAGGCCAATTCTCCAAGTGGAACTGTAGTATAGCCACCACACTACTGCTAGCAAACCTCTGACCCAGGACAAGAAGTAATGACAGTGGAACCAGGAGCTGTTCTTCAGGCAAAGAGCATCACAAATTATAATGTGGCAGAGTGTAAACATGGAGTTATGTGAATCACATAGTGACTTGCAAAGGACAAATGCCATGAGTTCCTGCTCCAGCCAACGCTGCTGGGCTGCTCACCCAAGGAAGAGTTTGCACTGGAGACAAAGCAAAGAGCTTCCTTTGGTGCTGCAGGACAAAGTAGTAACACTTTGGGTTTTCTTTATACTTTTTGAGTCCAGTGTAATTTAATCTCTATATAAATATATAAATAAAAGGTATATATATATATATAGTGTAAAATAAGATGTTTCTTAAATTCCAGTAAGTTCAATGGTTAAACTAGTTCTTCACCATTGTTTATTTTGCACTGATTTTTTTAACCAGAGGTGGCTAGAAGACAGCCTGGAATGCACTCATGGGAAATGAAAGTCTTTACTTTCTGGCTTCAAAATGTTATTCAGGACGATGGATGCTGCAATCGTAGGGTTTTTTTTTTTTTAAAAAAAACAAGAATTGTTTTGCACTTCAGTAGTTTAATGCTAATAGAGAATTCCTTTTGAATGGGTGTGCAGGCACCAGCAGACAAGTATGTTGTGGAGAAAAGATCCTTTGTATCTCTGAGACCTTTCTGTTGCTGTTGTTGTTCCCGAGCGCGCTGGGCTCTGTACGCTGTGTGAACCTGTAACTCCGTGATGGGGAGGGCAGCCACACTAGAGATTCTCTTCATTTAAGAAAGTGATATTTCTAATTCAGAAAAATACATATTAAACTCTCTTGAATATGCATTTTAATTAATTTTTTTTTGGTTTACTTTTCTGTTCAGATTCGATCACTTTTGATGTAACCGATCCTTTGTTGAATTAAATGTTTGGTACAGAAATACTATCCAAGCTTTGTAGAACAAATTCCTTTCAAAAAAAAATCTCTCTCACCTAGAACGTTGCTGAGTGTCTACTAGAGGTGAATTGCAGTTAGGCAAGTGAAGTACAGCTGCTCTGTTCTCATTCTTAATGGCTTATCCCCACACACATCACCCAGCAGAGACAGCTCGGTGGGGTCAGAGCCTGTGGTCACAGAGCCCTGTGTGTTCAGAGCTGGGAAGTGGAAGATCCCACAGCAGGAGCTGTGCACACTCTCTTGGCAGTCGGAAATTAGGTCAACAGATTGGAGTAGATGTGTTTCTGAGACAACTTGTTTGTCTTACACGAGGCATCTCATCCATAATTTAGCGTGCTGAGCCAGCCGTGCCAGTGTGGCTGCTCAGGGTCACCCTGCCTGGCCCAGCCCTGCAGCACAGCCCTCCCTGCAGAGACCAGCCCCTCCCCACAAACTGCTCCATGTCGAGCCCTGGAAGGACACAAGTATCACCAGACCCTTCCCTTTATCCCGTGGAGTCACAGTTGGGATTTTGTGGCGTACCCTCAGGCAGAGGGAAGGAGACTGCTGCAGCCTGGCCCTGGGAACTCACCCCAGGATGCAAGTGGCAATGTCCTTCCTGCTCTCCAGCAATAAAGTTGGGGAAATTTTAAAATGACAAACGTAACCATTTTCTGGCATGAGAAGCAATTATTTTTTTTTCAGGAAAAATTGGTGCTGGAATGGAATGGAAATTCCAGGAAAGGAATGAAAAATTGGAGAGAAACAACTGCAGTAGCTCCTTGTAACTAAGTCTTACTTGCAGCCAACATGCAGAGCACTGCCAGGTGTGTTTATGAGCTTGGCAATACATTGTCTGCTTCGCTCAGGATGGAGCTGTACTAAGTTCTTAGCTGCTTGTGCTCCCCTGAAATACAAGGGATGGGGAAAGTACCGAAACTGAGCAGGATCATTGGTCAGCAGGTTTGGTTTATTAGCACAGGGGGTTTAACTGTTAAAATACAGATAAACCTCATCGCTGGGAACTCATCTATTACCTCCCTGCCGAGTTCTAGAAGTGCTTCATACTCTCTGAGGCAACATGAAACAGTTGAGAAAAGTATGTAATGACTTTTAAAGACTTTTTTCCTTCAGCTGGAAAAACACAAAGCCAGTATGGAAAGAATTGCAGTATCCAACACCAGGGTAAGAACAGCAGCTTCTCACACACAGGTTGGCAGTGTGTCCCTGCCACAAATCCTAGTCCAGCAGCACATCAGGAATGTCTGGGGCTTTGCTTTTCTCAGCCTCTTCTTTACTGCCCATCCCACCCTCTATTCCATATGGAAAGAAAACTTCTGGCAAAGAAATAAGATACTAATAACTTACCTGGAAAGAACTTAAGAGTTCTACTGTAGACACAGCTCTAAATAAAAATCTTTTTCCTACTAGGGTAAAACAGTGATGGGTGGAACACATGATCTCAGGTGGAGGAGTGAGGGTAGGAGCAATACTTGCCAGTTTGTAGTTTGAAGTTGAGTGTATTTTAACTACAAAGCAGGTGGGAAAACTCCAGTTTGCCTTCTCATCCAACAGCCACAGAAGGGTGAGTTGTCTCCACAGGTTTAACAGCAAAGAAGTTGTTAGGAAAGAGATATCACTGAAGCACTGGATGGGCCAAACTGTGCAGGATCCACCTGAAAGCACAGAACACACAAAGAGAAATTCCAATGTGGCTCTTCAGATTTGCAGTTTTCATAGCAAAATGATGTGCTGAACATGCAGTTGCTGTTTGCATCGTGGGCAGCCCCAGACAGAGAGTATGTGCTCACACAGATGTCACTCTGGAAGCTTTTTCTCTCCAAGGTAAAACCTACCAAAAATCCTGACTTCATCTTCTTCCTGGTGTAGGAGCAATCACCTACCTGATATATTTGTTATGGAAGCAAACAGTGGCAGGGACACCTGAGAACAGGAAGGTTCCTGGTGCAAATAGGATCTGAGGGACTTTTTGAGTTGAGCTACTTCAGCATGTGAGCTTTGAGGCTTCCAGAGAAAGTTAACAGGAAGCACCAATACAATTACTGTAGCTCCATCAGGAACACAGTTTTACCCTACTGTACAATGCTAGGTGGGAGAGCTTTGGGTTGGAACAATCTGTCAGATGTGGGTAGCAAGATTTGTCCTCTTTCTTCTGTAAGAAATTAACAACAGTGCAGAGCAAACTCCCTCAGATCCCATAAGTTAGCTATTTTTAGAGCATCATTGTTACTGCTGCACCAGGCTCGACTCCAAAGAGATCAGCACTAAGCAACTCACCATCTTCCTCTGGAAAAAAACACTGGAGAAGCTCATGGCACCTTTTGCTTGGAGTTCCAAAGGTAAGAAGAGGTTAGTGCTACTCTGTGTTGCCTACTGACCTGCAGTCCATTCCATTTCCTAAGTGTAACATCACACCTTCCTCACCTATCTAGAGACAGATTCAAAAACCTGTGCTAGATGGATGGATATTTATTCTGTGTATTTCATATGTGTATCTGTAAATCCCTGGCAGGTATTCAAACAGAGCCTGAGCTGCTTTGCTGTGGAAGTTCTTTGCTCTGTCAGGAGCTGCTAACACAAACAGGACAAAGTGGGGACATGATTAAGTGTAACAGGAGGAGAACTCAGCCAGCCCAAGTGAGTTTATGGACCTTCACTGCACTTTGGGGTACTCTGGTCATTTCCCACTTGGCACTGGAGGGAAGGAGTTCCAATAAAATGAGGAAAAGGTTTTGGCTATGCTATTATATTCTGCTGTCTAATTCTCCCTTTGTCACAGTGTTCTCACTCTGCTAGCATAGAGGACTTTCTCCAGTTCAACTTGGCTTCATTTGTTCAATGGAATGAACAAATGAACAAAAATGCTGATCACTCCCCAGTTATGATGGATGAGGCCTTAGAGTAACCAGCTCTGGTGGGAGGTGTCCTTGCCCAGGGCAGGGGTTGGGACTGGATGATCTGTAAGGTCCATTCCAACCCTTAAAATTCTATGACTCTATGATTCTAAGATCAAAAAAAACCCCAAAAGTTGTTTGCCAGACCTGCTCTGCATGCCTACATGGTGGGCAGAGGATTTGTACCTCCCAGGTGAGAGTGACCTGCACAGGTTCTTTTGTTTTCTAAGTAACAAAACTGTTCTGTGACACATCACCAAACTGAGGCACTGCAAATTAACCAGTGCAAACCTTTAGATCTCAGGAGTTTTAAAATCAGTGGGATGAAATTGCAATAAGGATTCTTTCCAAGCAAGATAAGGATGTTGCCTTTTAACTCTTACCTTTTACAGCAGCACTAGGAAGGTAACACTGTATTGGATTGTTATTGATGATCTGTGTGCAGAATTTCTGGAGCATGATAAGCTCTGTGCCTTTACTGCCCTTCTAAGCAACTGGCTGCAACATCAGGCCCCGTTAGAACTCTGGGTTAGTGTTAACATCATGAAGCAAACCATGACTAAATTTGACTTGCTTTTGAGTCAGATTAAAAGTTGGTTTAACTTCTAGCTAGATTATAGCTAGATACAAATATTCAGCAGTCACAGAAAGTACATCAGGTCTCTCCTATGACTGCACAATCTGCACCTTCTCAGTCAAACCTGAGGTGGGAGTTACAGGAGGTGACTGAAAAGACACAATGAACAAACACTGCCCAGCAGTTAGTTGCCATTTGTAATACAATTTGAAAACTTAAATCCTGTAGATAACACTGAGCTCAAAGAATCCTTTCATGCTATTTTTAACCACCCTCCTCCTCCGCCAGGTTCTACAAGGAACAAACACTTGGGAAGTTCAGGATGCTCTCAGGGCCCTGCAGAACAGTGACAGCCTCAGGAGCAGAGCACCACAGGGTAGGTAGGAGCCCTCAGAGGATTCTGGGGCTTTCCTCCTGGCAGAGACACAGAACCAGACACTGTTCCACCTCCAACAGTGGAGCACAGCTGGTTTCACTGTGCTTTTCCTCACTCCTCCTCGTTCCACAGCAGGCAAGTGGGAATGTTTCAGGGAAAACTCCAGTGCCTTCTGTTTCTCAGACTGTTGAGGAAACAACAGAAGTTTGAAATACACTTCAATGGGCAAGTTTGAGTCTGTACCTCAGTATCTGCTCCAGTAAATCTACCAGGCTGGAGCACAGGGGTTCAGCACCACCTCAGGTGCCTGGAAAACAGAATGCAATGTGGAAAATATGGCTACTCCAGAAAAGTTTCACTTCGGTAAGTCTCCACCAAGAGAAGGTCCATGTTGTTTGTTTTTTCCTGGACTTTCTAAGAGAATGCTTTTCAAATAAATAGGGCTCAGTTTCCTTCTGAGAACATCTTAAGGAATAAAACTGAAAGAGAAATTCAAAATGATCAGAAAAAAAAACCCACCTAAGCCAAACACTAGTTGAGCTCAGTCTTTTCTAAGACTTATTGCCTCACTTAGATTCACAGAACCATCAAGGCTGGAGGAGACTTCTAAGATCATCCAGTCCAACCATTAACCTGTCACTGCTGGAACCCCTAAACCAGATCCTCCAGTGTCACATCCAGACACCTCAAA